GGAAAATAAATTTAATATTATCAAGAGTGATGAGTAATTTTTAAATGCTTTTCTCTATTTTCCATATTTTTAGATAAACATGCATCAATGTTAAAATCAAGAGTTTTTAAAAACTAAATTGAAGAATTATTAGTTTAGGTCAAGCATCCCATACCCAAAAATCCAAGATGCAAATGTTCCATAATCAGAAACTTTTTGAACACTGACATGATGTTCACAGGAAATGTGCATTGGAGCATTTCAGAGTTTAGATTTCCAGGCTTGGGATGCTCAATCAGTAAGTTTAATGCAAATATTCCAAAATCTGAAAAAATCCAAAATACTTTGCTTCCAGGCATTTCAGATAAAGACTACTTAACATGTAATTATTAAATAGAAACAGATAAGGAATACTCAACTATCACTGTTAATTTAAAAAAAAAAAAAAAGGCCAGGTGCCATGGCTCATGCCTGTAATCCCAGGATTTTGGGAGGCCAAGGTGGGCAGATTACCTGATGTCAAAAGTTTGAGACCAGCCTGCCCTATATGGCGAAACCCCATGTCTGCTGAAAATACAAAAAATTAGCCGGGCATAGTGACGGATACCTGCAACCCAGCTACTCAGAAGGCTGAGGCAGAAGAATCACTTGAATTCTGGGAGGCAGAGGTTGCAATGAGCTGAGATTGCCCCACTGCACTCCAGCCTGGCCAACAAGAGCAAAACTCCATCTCAAAAAAAAAAACCCCAAAAAATGGTGGTAGAAAGATTATCTGAAAATAGATTATTGTGTGTCTTAGTCTATCCAAGCTGCTACAAGATACCTTACACTGGGCATTTTATAAACAATAGAAATTTATTGTGCACAGTTCTCAAGGCCAAAAAGTGCAAGTTCAAAGCACAAACAGATTTGGTGTCTGGAGAGGGTTTGTTACTCACAAATGGTGCCTTTTATGTCTTCACATAATAGTAGGGGACGGTAGCTCCTTTCAACTACTTTAAAAGGGCACATAATCCCATTATTTAGGGCAGAGCATGTATAACATAATCACTTTCCAAAAGGTCTCACCTCTTAGAATACTACGACACTGAGTATTAGGTTCTAACATATAAATTTTGGGGGGAAACAAACATTGACACTATAGCACTGACTATTCTTTCAGTGAAGCTCTAGGCTTGATTTTCTATTGACTGAGTTATTTTACAACTCCACAGGTGCAGAGGTTAACCTGTAGATTTCTATTCGCAGAAAGGACCCCAAAGGTTACAGTTTGCCACCATGTAAGACAATAGCCAATTGTTTTTATCTAATCCAGTAATCTCACCTCAATCTCCTATTAAATCGCATGCATATCTCTCAATATGCTCTTTGTACCAGTTTTAATGCCTTACTGGTTTTGCACTAATTGAGTCAATATTTGGCATGTGTTCGTCTTCTATTTGCATGAAGGTCACAATTTTGCCTTTTAAAAATTATAGTCAGCAGTTCTGGAGGTCATCCACTGAGAAGCTGAAATGGACCTGATGGAGCTCAGTAAATGAAAAACACACCTTATAGTCTGTTAAGCCTAACACATCTTTTCTTGGCTCCCAAAGAGATGCCCATGCAGCAATAAAGCTCTAACTTTGCTCACTGTTTCTCTATGTATTTTTCTCCTTCTCTACTAAGTTTGTGCCTTTGTGTTTCTGGTTCACTCATGACCAATATACTACCCCCAATGATGGTAGTACTGAGAAAGGAAAATAAGCAGGTCAGGCAGACAGTAGGATGGGTCCTTGGTAAAACTCCTTCAAACACAAAAGCAGTCTTAAAAATCAAACTACAGGCACAAATAGAGCAGTCTGGGGAAAACTTGGGCTACAGGTGCACAGATAAGAAAGCAAGGCCCAACACAGAAACCATTGTTCTGGTGTAATCTGCGGCCTCCCAGGAAAAAGTTTCTTTCCCTTTTCAGGCATGTACATGGTGGGCTCCATGGGAACTTGCACGGGGAGTGGGGGACCTTACCCAAAACATACCCACAGTTGTACAACCAAGAGAAGCTGCACTTTGTGCTTGCCTAAAGACAAGCCCACAGCTGCACAGATAGGGGGAATTACACAGACAGCTTCACAGATTTAAAAAGTTACACAAACAGCTACAGAGATGAGAGGCGTTTCTTATAAAAGCTTTTGTATTCAACAGTAAAAACGGCAACCTCTCTCAGGCCCCCTCTCTCCTATAGAGAGCTTTTTTCTTTCACTTAACTTTCACTCCAACCTCACTCTTGTGGCCATGCTCCTTAATTTTCTTGGTTGTGAGACAAAGAACTCCAGGTACCACCTCAAACGACAAGACTGAAATGTTGTGGTGCACTGGCCAGACTGCAACAGTAATAGGTAGATTTCGTTCATGGTCTCTGTTGGATGGATGACAAAGAATCTCGTTTGTTAGTCTTTTTGTTTGTCTGTTTGGATATTTGTAAGTTCAATCGCTCCTGTGAGACCTGAAACAATAAGTTTCTGTGTTTGCTTGTGATCCATAAAGTTGTAGAACTGAGGTGAAGAGCCTTCTACATGTTTGAGCATCTATAATTCAGAAAAGCCTTCATTCTCATTATGTATGAAATATTCTACCTCCAGAGGGTATTAATAAATTACACATCACAGCTCTTAAACAGAAGAGCTCTGTAAAATTGATTTACAGAGATAAAAAAGCACGTATATTCTCCACATTCACAGAAACTAAAGAAACTCGTAACAGAAACTGTTAGCTCAGAAACATTTTTAAGAATCCAAGTATAGGCCAGGTGCAGTGGCTCACACCTGTAATCCCAGCAGTTTGGGAAGCTGAGATAGGCAAATCACCTAAGGTCAGGAGTTAGAGACCAGCCTGGCCAACATGGTGAAACCCTGGTCTCTACTAAAAATACAAAAATTAGCCAGGTGTGGTGGTGAGTGCCTGTAATACCAGCTACTTAGGAGGCTGAGGCAGGAGAATCGCTTGAACCCAAGAGGCAAAGATTGCAGTGAGCCGAGATCATGCCATTACCCTCCAGCCTGGGCAACATGAGCAAAACTATGTCTTGGGAAAAAAAAAAAAAAAGAATCCAAGTATACATAACTATGGTAAATCTTTGGATAAGTCAAGCCATTTTAAAATGTTTGGTTTGAGAGGGAAAAAAAGTTTTGTCTTTTCTCATAATTATTAGTATTAAGTATAACACATGAGTGGATTTTAAAAATAATATAGGCATACCTGGTCGGGCTCAGTGGCTCACATCTGTAATCCCAGCACTTTGAGAGGCTAAGGCAAGCAGAATACTTGAGGGCAGGAGTTGGAGACCAGCCTGGCCTACATGAAAAAAACCCGACTCTACTAAATATACAAAAATTAGCTGGGTATGGTGGCAGGCACCTATAATACCAGCTACTCAGGAGGCTGAGGCAGGAGAATTGCTTGAACCCAGGAGGAAGAGGCTGCAGTGAGCCGAGATCATACTACTGCACTCCAGCCTGGGTGACAGAGCCAGACTCTGTTGTAAAAATATAATAATAATTATATAGGTATACCTTGCAGGTATTATGGGTTTTGTTCCAGACCATTGCAATAAAGTGATTATCACAATAAGGCAAATCACGTAAATTTTTTGGTGTTCCGATGAATACTGTTTACACTATGCTGTAGTCTATTAAGTGTTCAATAGCATGTCTAAATATACTATATATATGTTAATTTAAAAATATTTCAATCAAAAAATGGTGTTGGAAAAACGACACCAACAGACTTATTCAACATAGGATGGTCACAAACCTTCCATTTGTAATAAACGCTGTTTCTGAGAAGCGCAACGAAGTGTAACAAAATGAAGGATGCCTACATAGGGGTTGGTTTCTAATGAGAGGAGTTCAACTCAACTTTCAAAACTACTCAATGGTTTACTGATCAAAAAAGCTAACATCATAGCTCTGTAATGCTGAAGATTTTGAAAAATGTAAGTTTGTGTTTAACTAAATTGAATTATAATTCTGATAAATATTGCTTAAACATTTTTTATTTATAGTAAAACATACATAAAATTTATTTTAACCACTTTTTTTCTTTTTTTTTTAATTGTTTTCTTCACTGGGTTTTTTTAAAAATTTCAACTTTTTTTTACAAAGAACTAAAACAGATTTACAAGAAAAAAACAAGCCCATTCAAAAGTGGGCAAAGGATATGAACAGACACTTTACAAAAGAAGACATACATGAGGCCAACAAACATATGAAAAAATGCTCATCATCACTGGTCATCAGAGAAATGCAAATCAAAACTATATTGAGATACCATCTCACACCAGTTAGAATGGCGATCATTAAAAAATCTGGAGACAACAGATGCTGGAGAGGATGTGGAGAAATAGCAACACTTTTACACTGTTGGTGGGAGTGTAAATTAGTTCAACCATTGTGGAAGACAGTGTGGCGATTCCTCAAAGACCTAGAAATAGAAATTCCATTTGACCCAGCAATCCCATTACTGGGTATATATCCAAAGGATTATAAATCATCCTACTATAAGGACACATGCACACGAATGTTCATTGCAGCACTGTTTACAAGAGCAAAGACCTGGAACCAACCCAAATGCCCATCGATGATAGACTGGACAGGGAAAATGTGGCACATATACACCATGGAATATTATGCAGCCATAAAAAACGATGAGTTCGTGTCCTTTGTAGGGACATTGATGAACCTGGAAACCATCATTCTCAGCAAACTGACACAAGAGCAGAAAATCAAACACCGCATGTTCTCACTCATAGGCGGGTGTTGAACAGTGAGAACACACGGACACAGGGAGGGGAGCACTATATACTGGGGTCTGTTGGGGGGAAATAGGGGAGGGACAGTGGGGGGTGGGGAGTTGGGAAGTGATAGCATGGGGAGAAATGCCAGATATAGGTGATGGGGAGGAAGGCAGCAAATCACACTGCCAAGTGTGTACCTATGAAACAATCTTGCATGTTCTTCACATGTACCCCAAAACCTAAAATACAATAAAAAAAAAAGAAAGAAAAAAAATTTCCACTTTTTAGATTCAGAGACTACAGATGAAGGTTTGTTACATGGGTATACTTTATGATACTGAGGTTTGGGATACAAATGGTCCCAACACCCAGGTAGTAAGCACAGTACCAACAGTTTTTCTTTTTTCTCTTTTTTTTTTACTCTTTTGGTTGAATTTTATTCATATATTATCTGCCCTTCTTCTTACAATCTCTCTCATGAAAGGGATCATTATCCAGTGAATGATGCCAAACCTTCTTCACCAGCCTCCAACCTCTAGGCATCAAGTTTTAACGAGACATCTTCCTAAGTTTATCTGGAATTGAGCTCTTCTCTGTTAGAGTTTCCTTTCTAAGTCCATTTCTTCATAAATCTGGCATGTGAGATTTTAATTGCTCTGCGCAGTTTTCTCTTCTTCCGTCAATGGTGACAGCTCCGGGTCTGTTTGCTTTTGAAGGTTTTGTATCACATTCATAGCCTTATTCACAGCAGCACAAATGCAGCTCTTAGACTCTTTCTGCCCAACAGCAACTGGTTTAAAGCGTGCACATAAACTTTGATATCGAGACTTTATCGCTGACAATTCCTTTAAGACTGTAACTGGATTTTTCTCGCCAGCTGAATCAGGATGATTAGACTTGATTTCATATTCCAGCCGGTACTGAATGTAATCCAGATCAGACTCAGCTTTCTGGAACATGAGTTCCAGCTTACCAACTTCCACCTTCATGTCCCACCCAACTTCAACCCTTGTCCACTCCCTTCCTTTTATCATAGCCTCCAGTGTCTACAGTTCCCATCTTTAGGTCCATGTGTACCCAAGGTTTAACTCCCACTTAAAAGCAAGAACATGTGGTTTTCTGATTCTGTGTTGGTTTTCTTAGGATAATGGTCTCCAGCTGCATCCACGTTGCTGCAAGGGACATCATTTTGTTCTTTGTTATGGCTCCATAGTATTCTATGGTGTATATGTACCATATTTTCTTTATCCAATCTACTTTTGATAGGCTACTTCAACCACTGTGGAAAGCAGTATAGAGGTTTCTCGAAGAACTAAAAACAGAACTAGTACTAAACCCAGCAATCCCATTATTGGGCATATACCCAAAGGAAAATAAAACACTGCCAAAAAGACACAGGCACGCATACATTCATCATAGCTTTATTCACAACAGCAAAGACACAGAATCAACCTAGCTGCCCATTTTAACAATTTGTAAGTGTACAGTTTAGGGTCACCAAGTACATTCACATTATTGTGTAAGTATCCACACAATCTATTAATAATTTTTGATCATCCCAGACAGAAACTATGTACCCATTAAATAATTAACTCTCTATTCTGCCCTCTCCCCAGCCCCTGGCAACCATCACTCTACTTTCTGTCTCTATGCACTTGACTACTCTATTTACCTGATATAAGTAGATAATACAACATCTGTCCTTTTATAATGGGCTTATTGCACTTAGCATAATGTTGCCAAGGTTCACGCAGCATGTGTGATTGAGAATTTCCTTCCTTTTTTAAGGCTGAATAATATTCCACTGTGTCTATGTATCATTTTGTTTATCCATGCATCCGCTGATGAACACCTGGGTTGTTTCTACCTTTGGCTACTGTGAATGCTGCTGCTATGCACACTGCTATATTGTTCAAGTCCCTACTTTCCCTTGTGTATACATGCACAAACAGAATTGCTGGATAACATGGCATTTCCATTTTTAATGTTTTGAGGAACTGTTATACATTTTTCCACTGCAGCCACACCATTTCATGCTCTCACCAGAAAGGCACAAGAGCTCCAATTTCTCTACAACCATGCCAACACTTACCGTTTTCCATTTTTTTAAAATAATAGTCCACCTAATAGGCATAAAGTGATATCTCATTTTGGTTTTGCTTTGTATTTCTCTAATGATTAGTGATGCTGAACAAATGACAAGCACTTTTATATATTTTGGTTCGGGTTGACTTCACGATAATTTTGAAGATCCTTAAGTAATTTTAAAACATAAATTAATGTAAATTAACAAATGAACTAACTCATCTTTGGATACCTGAATAGTTTCTAAGTAGGAATAAACACTAAAACAATGAGCATAATTTAAAGTTTATCTACTTTTTCTTTTTTTTTTTTTTTTTTTTTTTTGTTTGTTTTTGAGATGGAGTTTCGCTCGTTACCCAGGCTGGAGTGCAATGGCGCGATCTCGGCTCACCGCAACCTCCGCCTCCTGGGTTCAGGCAATTCTCCTGCCTCAGCCTCCTGAGTAGCTGGGATTACAGGCACGCGCCACCATGCCCAGCTAATTTTTTGTAGTTTTTAGTAGAGACGGGGTTTCATCATGTTGACCAGGATGGTCTCAATCTCTTGACCTCGTGATCCACCCGCCTCGGCCTCCCAAAGTGCTGGGATTACAGGCTTGAGCCACCGCGCCCGGCAACTTTTTCTTATCATTTATATATATACTACAGAATGGCTACATCTTTTGTGTCTATCAATAAACATGCTCATCTCTGCCACCGTAAGATGTGCATAAGAAGGTACAAAAGAGATATGTAAGAAATTTGTGCAATTTGTTTCATTTACATACTTTCTCAGTCTGTTATAATATCCATATAAAACAGTTCCTTCTCAATGAGCTAATTCCCAGTTCTCTCTATGAAAGAAAAGTTATTATTTTATTAAGAGATATAATTAATATGGATCGTTGAGGCCATATTAAGGGCAAAAATAACAGACATACATTTGTGGAAGCTGAGTAATGGTATAAGACTTTTTAGGCCAGGAGTGGTGGCTCACACCTTTAATCCCAATACTATGGGAGGCCACGGTGGGTGAATCACTTGAGGTCAGGAGTTCAAGACCAACCTAGCCGACATAGTGAAACCCCATCTCTACTAAAAATACAAAAATTATGGTGGCTCATGCCTGTAATCTCAACACTTTGGGAGGCCGAGGTGGGCAGATCATGAGGTCAGGAGTTTTTAAGACCAGCCTGACCCAGATGGTAAAACTCCGTCTCTACTAAAAATACAAAAAAAATTAGCCAGACATGGTGGTGGGTACCTGTAATCCCAGCTCCTCAGGAGGCTGAGGCAGAGAAGTGCTTGAACCTAGGAGGTGGCGGTTGCAGTAAGCAAAGATCGCGCCACTACACTCCAGCCTGGACAACAGAGTAAGACTCTGTCTCAAAAAAAAAAAAAAAAAACTAACCAGGCACGGTGTCAGGTGCCTATAATCCCAGCTACTCAGAAGGCTGAGGCAGGAGTATCACTTGAACCTGGGAGGTAGAGGTTGCAGTGAGCCAAGATCTTGCCTTGCCACTACACTCCAGCCTGGGCAACAGAGTAAGACTCTATCTCGAAAATTGAAATATAATTTTTTAAAAAAAGATTTTCATTTTAAGGAAAATGTGAGTAGGATTATTCTAAAGTGACAGCTTGTTATAGAATATAAAATAGCATAGTGAAGACACAATTTGAGAAAGTATGGCACATTGAAGGAAGTGAATTTTATTGGCTTTGGTTTATAATATCTAAGAATGAGAAAATGCTGTAATACATGTTAACATGTTGGCTAAGTTCACTTAGTTTTGAGGGACCTCTTTATCTGGAATACTCTTACTCTATAAGTGAGAAAAGGAGGGTGACTCAGGGGCTTGCCCAAGGTCACAAAGCCAATTTAGAGGAATGCTAGGAAAGACCAAAGCCTGAAATTCCCAACTCTCACTCAGTTCAGTGGCCGTCTCACTGGACACTGCTTCTGCGGTCCACCATGCCAACACACACACAATCACTCTGTATCAACGCGCTCTAGTCAACAAAAGGAGGTAAGAGACTGTAGCCACTCACTAAATCAAAGGGTGAACAAAGAAATATATTTCTCAATTACATAATTCTTTGGAGTTTAAATGTTTCCGTGAAAGCAAAAAGGTTTACCCCAACATTCACAACTTAATACTCAAAGTGCTGAAATAAAAATGTTAATGAAACTTTACGAAGCTTATGTAACTGAGAAAGGAAGTACAGCAAATGTTTTTAATAAGTTGGAGATAAATAAGAAATTTACTTCTGCATTTTTACTGCAGAACAAATAAATATCAGGATGTTTTTAAGTCATTTTCTTTACTTTGACATTTCCTTTTATTTTAAATCCTAATTCTCCAACAAAAAGACTTTTAGTGAGGCACTATCAAAAAGGCTAAGTAACAGAATCCCAAACTTCTCAATTCTACAGGTCGGTGTTTATGAAGCACTCTAGCCAACACCTTAGAATCCTGAGTAACTATCCTTATGTGAGCCCTTATTTAATGTCAGTTCAATTTGAGACTCCTGCTTTTCCAATATTTCTTATGAGGGAAAAATACATCCCACAGTGACAACCCAGATAGAGAACTCAATGACTGCCAACATCAAACAAGACCGATGTCCCCATGGAAACTAATCCACCCTAGGATTTACTATTCAAACATTTTCTGAAGCATTCAAGCACATCTAATGGGCAATGAAAATTGTCAAGGCAAATGACCCTAATTTTCAACACAACTGAAAGGTCCTTGCAGCAATGATGAATACGACTACTTGCTAAAGGAAGACTGACCCAGCAAAAAGATGTCATGAATGACTTGGATTTTAAGATATCTATACTAATCCAAGCCCCAAGCAGGAAAATCTTCAGCCAGAAAATTTATGGCATTTTTCTATTTAATGTTTAGTTTCTATTCTAAGTGTATTTTCTTTATTCTCAGAATCAACTTTGGTACATCTTATCATACGAGATTGGCTTCTGGAAAAAGACTTCCAGTTGATATCATGAGATATATGGTTGTAACTTACATTGACTCGATTACCAGGTGACATCCCAAAACTAACTGAAGTACTATAAGCCCTCATAACTAGAATAACAACAATGTACTTGTATTTTCTGCTTTTGCCCAATGGATCAAGAAACAGCCTAGCTTTCAACTTCTGATTATTCAACTCAGTATCAAGAGCAGAGTGCCAATTATTCTCTGAGGAAGTCTAGCCCCAGAAGTTACCTCTTCGTGCCCTAGGCCTGGCTCTTTAAACAAAGCTGAGCCTCCCAGGCCTTAGACCAGACAGCAGGTAAAACCTTCCCCCAATTCACCAGCTCAGCCCTCTTCCCAGCCTTATCTCCACTGCTCTCAAATTTGGGCCAGCTGTTTGGATATGTGATTTTCAGTGTTCTCCTCATTCAGTAAAATTAACTCCCTTCCTCAGCTTAAAAACTCAACCTTCCGCCCACCTCATCCTTTCACTGCTGCCTCTGCGAGCTCCGTACAGGACCCAGTTTTGAGTAACAGCCATTCCTTCTGAATTCTAGACACTGAAGATACCTTGATATCTACAGCCCCTCCAAGCAATGATACTTCAGAGGCAGACTCAAAAGATGGTTAGGTTCCTATGGTCCTTTCTTTTCTCCCTTTGGAGTGCAGTGGTGTAAGCACAGCTCACTGCAGCCTTGAAATCCTGGGTTCAGGTGATCCTCCTACCTCAGCCTCCCTAATTGCTGGAACTACAGGCACCCATCACCACAACCAACTAGGCCTTTTTTTTTTTTTTTTGGTAGAGACGTGGTTTTGCCACGTTGCCCAGGCTGGTCTCAAACTCCTGAGCTCAAGTGATTCAGCCTCCCAAAGTGCTGGGATTACAGGCATAAGACACTGTGCCCGGTCTCTTTTCTTCCTAATAACCAAATGAATACTGCTGAGGTTGGAAACCTGCAGAACTTACTTGCCGATCAGGATGAAATGAAGAAACCAGCAAGAACCACTAGATGGCACCAAAAGTGGCCTCTAGTTGCCCTCACTGTTCATTCAGCATAAGACACTCCCACTAGTGCCATGACAGTTTACAAAGACCATGGCAACACCTGGAAGTTACTGCCCCCTTTATAGGGACTTCTGACTAAC